AATGAAAAAAATGAAAGTAAGGGTGACAATTCAATAAGGGTGACAATTCAATAAAGGACACTTTTTTTCAGTGGAGATTTCTCATTCTGTTTTTGATTCAGCGTGTATTTAAAAAGATCATACATTGTCACGGTTTATCGTGTGCACTAAATATCCCCACTCTGCATGTGACAATAAAAGAAGTGAATTGCAGTGACTGGACAGTATGCAGTGAGGTGTACATTGCACTAACTTCTACACATAAAACACTGAATTGAATTTTTTCTTCTTAGCTGGGTCTTTCACGTTCACTTGGCCGTAAGGACACTGTTGATAGAGCAAAGAAACAAAAGGTTTACATTTAGTACATCTATCCATTTTCCATATCCACTTTGGCTTATGCAGGGTCACTGAGCCTTACGTGTCTGCATGCACTTCCACAGCATTTTCCCCTCTGAAGATGAGCGAACTTTGTGAACACCTTGTATCCTGTCGCTGGATCTATGTAAATTTGCTCCTTAGCCTTGAAACAAATAATAAGTTTCAACTTAAAATCTAACACAGAGATATAAACTAAAATATTTACTGTAACGTACTGCATATACACACCACCATATGACTTTGAACATGGATATACAAGTTAGACAACTAAGACATGGAACAAATCCATTTCCTGGCAGAACTAATGGTTAGAGGTTATAGACGTAATTATTCTCAGGGCCAGAAGTTAAGAAGGCCCCCACCTTTAAACATCAAACTGCTGGATTGTTGCTTTATCAGGCACCCTGGTCGTGTGACTGGATGAGGCTCACAATCATATACACACTCTTACACTCTAAACCAAGTTCAGATTGCAGGAGAGTTCCAGGATGTGAGGTCAACAAAGATCTGTCCAATTGTAAACAGATAGCTATGCTATAGTGGAGCGATGAACCCCACAACAGAACAATGAAAAGAGGGGTGGAGATGGAAACTGTATTTCAATTCCTTAAAAAGTCTTCTCCTGGCCAGCATTACTAGAATGCCAACTTGTACTGCATATGAGGGAACACACCCCGCACCCCCGCCTAGTACCCACATGACGTCTACCTTCACAAATAAACTTGTCATCTCTATGTGATCCTGTTAGGCCTTACAAAGTTATTTTATCAAGTCTTCGTTCAAAAAGATAAGACCACTTGTTTCAGCTTCGGAAAGCTACTATACAAGAAGAGCCCGAGGCTCTTTTATGACATGACTTGTCATTTCAAATGGCATCTCTTTCTTCCATAGCAAAGCTGGCACAGTCTGTGTACTGGAAATCTTTAACTCTCCAGAACTAAAGACTAGCTTTAAAACATGAATGCTTCACAACACATTACGGTAGGCATTTTGAGGGGTATTTGAGGGACAATCACCCTAATTTGTCCCAAATCTTTGTTTCCAATGGTTTGGAAACAAAGATTAATATATAATGCCAACTCTTTACATTCTCACTTATTGTATGGTTAGCAGAATTTAAATTATATGGGATAGTTAATTTTATTAAAGTAACAATCATTTGTAAAGTCCTGAAAACATAATTTAATCTTACAAGCAAAATAAGGTCTGTATTTGCTGAGTTTTGTGCAAATCGCCTTTACAAATGACTGTTGATCTCAATTATTTCATTAAAAATCATTTTATAAGAGGCCTAAACACTGTGTGTCCGGTAGTAACAAGCTTTTCGTGACCGGTACCTAAGTGGGAGGGGCACGGCGCTGTACGGGTTCCTTTAACTGCAACACCGCAAACAGTCTTACCTCACATGCCTTTTGGTGAAGGAATGCAATTTGTCTTTCATTTTCTTGCATTTGCATTTCTCTTGTATCCGTATCTTCCTTTCTACCATTTTCTGAGTTATTTTGTGATACTGCGTTTGTTACTTGTTCAGTGTAGCAGTATTTTTCGCAAGACGACATAATCACCTTTCGTTTCAGATTCCCAAGTAAAAATGCGTCAAGTCTGTTGAAATTCCTCAGTGACTGAAAATGCGGAGATAGCATGCTCTAGCGATTCTCGTGTGTTATCTTATCAGATTCCTGCATGAGGAAAAAAAATAAACTAATACTCGCGAGCGACCTTGTTCAGGTTATTTGAGCGATATACTTACATATTAACAATGGAATACATATTCCTAAATAATATGTCGCATATACGGGATTATTAACTTATTTCATATTTGTTGCGAGAGGCAGGTACCGGCTCACGTTCTTACCATTTCCATCTTGTTTTCGCTGTCACGCGCGCGCCTTTGCGTTCCATTCGCCCGAGGCCGGTATTACGGCACGCGATTCTGCTCCTCCTCTGCTTCAAGATTCAAGATTCTTTATTTGTCACATGTAGTTATAGCTGGTACAACATGTACTTGTAGTTCAATATCATTGACCGTGCTTGAAACGACATCGCATTTTCTTAACTTTCTGCACATTACATAAGCAGACGTTAAAATATGTGAAAGCGAAGATGGAAGTTGTATGACTATTTGCATGAATCTTGATTGTTTTCCTTTTGTACATTTAACCTGCCATCAATAGTGTTATAATGTCTGCTTATCTGTTTCAATGATTTTGGATTAAGCGCCTAGGTATTAACTGTATGAGTACTTTGGGTGCTATGGCATTATGTTTATGTCTATGATGTACGCATTTATATTAAACACATGAAAATATATAATTCAGTTGAAATAAATATAATAAATACACTTAAGTGTTTTAACTAGTGTTAAGTTGTAAACAAGAATATCCTGCTGCAGGTATCCATATGAAATTGCAAGGATCCCTGCTATAACATAATGACAGTTTGAAAATCAGCATTATATATTTACATAATATACACATATGTAATTTAGGCTCACATGCAGTGATTAACTACTAAAAATGTTAGCTATGCTCTCCAAACATTTCTGTTTAAAACTGTCTGCCGTCCAGCTAGATTGATCAAATGATACTAATCAGAGTTTGTGTAGGTCTTAACTGGGACTACATGCAAACTCCATAATTCCAGACCAGGGGATTGTTCCATGAAGCAAGATTTCTTGCTTAGCCAGATAACTTGATGGATTTAAGGTAGTCTGGGCTAAATGTAAGTGAACTAACGTAGACCAGACTACCTTAAATCCAACAAGTTACCCGACTAAGCAAGAAATCCTGCACTGTGGAACTCCCCCCCGGGAGTATAAGACAAAACCATGAAGGCATGAAACCAAAGAGACATCTACTGAACCACCATATGGCCGTTTGCAAATACCAAACAGTTCAATAAATATTTATTCACTGAATTTATTTGAATTGTTTGCTGTATGCTGGCTGAAGTGTTGTATCCTAGGAGAAAGAATTATTTAGATGACTTGGTTCTGTTTGTTTTTCTTCCGTTTTCCATACTATATATCCAGTATGGGCTGTAGTAAGCCTGGAACCTGTCACTAAAAACAAGACATAAGGCATCGAAAACCATGGATGGGAATTATTGAGAGACACCAGTTCACCTAAACCACATGGCTTTGGACTGCTGGAACAAACACACAAACATGATCAATGTGCAAAATCCACGCAAGTACAGCAAGGGCTGGTGATGTCCACAGGTGTGAGACCACCCTCTGAGCCACCACACTGTCTAATGTGAAGCTGGTATCATTTATATAACTGCAAAAATAGCTACATTCATAAACAAATATACAATCATCCAATTTCTCGTGGAATATTTTCATTTTAAACCATAACAGCAGATTAAAGTGACAGCGTGCAAACATGATATTCAGGAAGAAAAAATGCCTTGGGTTTTTTTTTTTCCTGAAATTGACTTTCTTGAGAAGTTAGTGGCTTGAACAAGCAGCATCATCTCAACAAACTTCCAGAATTGCTCTGTGCATAAAAGGCTGGCACATTGCCCCTATGAGTCCCTTCCCAGGATTGGATCTGCGAGTCATATTGCCAGTCAAAGAAAGTTTGCCTAACTACGTTATTATTTACCTGTGGATAACTGCCTCCCTAAATGCATATGGGACTAGTGCAAATGGACGATTAAAAATGGTTGACTTTGTTATCCCATCTTCTGTTACCTCCTATAGAAGAAGCATTGTCTTCTTAGGACAACGCGAAATAATATCCAATTCAAACATTAAAAATTATTTTTTTAATAAAAAAGGAAATTTGCAGTGCCATCTATTCATTACCAGCTAATACAACACGGAAAACAGGATGACTCTGGCCTTAAGTCAGAAGCTTTGAAGTCTTGCAGTGGTGAGTCGTAGGGCATACTTCATTTAATTTGCTTAACTGATACTTGGATTCTTTGCCCACATACCCACTTTGACATGACACACCTAAAATTAAGTTCAGTAGAAAATATGGATCCAAACTCTGGTACTTCAATTTACTAGTCATGTTTCTTAGGTATCATTTTTATTTAGGTCATCCTCTACATTCTGCCCAGTGTACTCCTCTGCTTTGTGCCCTGTGGTACCTGGGTCGGGCTCCAAGCTTTTCATAACCCAGTATAGGATGAGTGGCTGGAAATTAAAATGGATGGATGGCTTCTCCACTTAAATTCTCTGTCATTGTTCTTTCACCTGGTTCTATTATGGTTCAAGTTATGTGTAGTAGCAAACAACAATCTAGCCAAGTTATGCAGTGCTATGTCTCCCAGCAGAGCTACCCAAGTATGTGAATAATAAATGTCTTAACATGTGTAGCTCACCATCTAACAAATAACTCTTAGTGTTCACCTTCATCTTCCACCTTGTGGGCTCACCTTGTGATTGTGAGCCCACCTACAGTATACGACGTCAGTTCACATGACTCAGCTGCATCACATCTGGGTTACGTAAGCATCGACTGAGCGACTGATTACTTATTTCTGAAGATGCTCCTTGTTAGTAGCAGTCATTCGTGGTGGTCTGGAGCGACCCCAGACCCCCACCATCAGCCGGCGAAAGACGACCTTCGTGAAGAGCATCGACCGCGGACATGCAAGCAAGTGGTGAGCGCGCCGATGACGTCACACTGTCGTCTCGTGGACTTCCTGGTTTCACGCTCAGTGAAGAAATCCGTAGGACGAGAAAGAGAGCGAGAGAAAGCCTAGATATCTAAAGACAGACGTTTATACAGACAGCAGGAGGCATGTGGGCTCTCTCTGAAATGCGCACTGAAATTGAGGAAGCGACTGACTAGCGAAAAGTATTGAAAAAAACTCGCGCTTCACCTCCGTGGACGGTTTGCCAGTGTTGGCTGTCCTCCCGATCTCGGACAGCGGTCAGAGCCGGTTTTGAGGGAGCTGCCGAGATGTTGTAACCATGGACAGCAGAATAAAGTAAGTCTTTTAGCTGGGCATGACAGCATTTGCTACAAATAAATGCGTGAAAAGCCTCAGAGAGTCTGTCTGCGAGATACACGTCGGTGATCATACGTGCGCTGACAAGTGCTTTCTTCCTGAGGCGACTTGGGAAAGGTTGAAGCCGGTTTTAATTTTACTTTGAGCAGGGCTGGCTCTGGATAAACACCACGACACGTAGGCCGGAAGCCTTAAAATAACAAAATAAACTCCAAAGTGTCTGGAGTTACGACTGTGTGTAACGTTATTATCATAACAGTTCCCATAAATACCTGCAGCCAGCGAAGGATGGACTTGTTAAATGCTGTCAGTACCGGGTAAAGGCAATGCCTTTGCTAGCCTCTTAACCAGCTAGCTTGATTCTTATGTGTTTTCGGTGCAGTGTATCCGTACGCAGAAACACTTAATGTGTGTACCAGTGCATGTTTTTCTTTTTCTTTCCTTTAAATGACAGATGTCGTCTTAATGGCTTTTGAATGTCCCTCTCTTTTTTCCACAGCGAAAATCCAGGGAAGACGTTTGATCTGGTTCTACAGGTGCGATGTCCGGCTACAGAAAATGAAGGTAGGACACGATTTGCAATTTACACATTTAACTTCAAATAAATTAGCACGACGCCCACCTTATCACGTCAGTCGTCATTTGTGAATCACAAGTTTTTATCAGTTGTGACGGGTCTATTTGTGTATTAATATGTGAACACTTGGAACCGTGTCGTAGAGTACGTATGCTCAGAAAACATTGGAAAAAAATGCATAGGTGACTTGTTTGTTTGCCTTATTTCGAAGTGCTGTTTTGCAGACATTCTGTAATTTAACTTTCCTAAACTGGGGGTGTATCAGGTGGGCATATTAGTTGATGTAGGAGACTTGGCCAAAAGATCACAAATGCCAGACAGTTGTGTGTTCAATTTTTTTTTACCTGCTTTCAGTGATTGTTAACTATAGTAGCTGGTTCATGCTTCAATATCCCTTAAGCACTTTAGGTAATATGTATGCTGCCAAAGGTTGGCCTTTCATGTAATGTTGTGTGACAGACATTGATTGGATAGTCACTGCTAACCTGAGATGATTTCACTGCTGCTATCATATGTCAACTATAAATAGAATTTCTGAGCTAAGCTACTTTTGGCTATTAAGACAAGAGTCGATATGTTACTAAAGCTTAGCGAAGTATGATTATACCGTTTAACTGTGATCATTTGTATTTCCCTGCAGTATTACTATGAAATATAGTACGGTACAGATGGTTTGATTTGCTAAAAGTCACCATCTATAATAGTTAGTACACATGTAAGGAGTAATAGTTCATTGCGATTTTTATTTGGAAAATAAGTTAGAGAGTCTTGAGCATGTAAAGATGCATCGTAAATCATTAAATGTAATTTCCTCCATTATTTTAGCAATTATGTCTTTTAACTGTGGTGCTGCTAAGTCTGAATATTGATAAAGTGTAAATATTTGCCAAGACTCACATATCAGACCAATGCAAGTATCTTGACGTTTAAAGAATATCGAATATCGGCAAGTACCGATACGTTAACCGATATGTATCATGCTTAGTGTATAAACTACTTAACTGTTTTTGTTTATACTTTTAAGTTGCTAACACTATAGGATCATGCCCTTAATTTAGGTGTTGCCGAGGCAACATGGTTGACTTGGGCGTGAGCTTCCACTTAAACCTGAGAAAGAAAGCCTTGCCTCAGGTTTTTTTTTTTTTTTTTTTTTTTTGAACAGGAAGTCCTCTTGTGTAGTATCGGTTCAGTCATTGTGCATCAAAATGACAGGCCTGTGGTCAGTTAATCATCTGTATTTTAAAAGTCCTAAGGACTGCTTCTGCCTGCAGTATCTCTATTTATATGAAAAGGGGTATCGGGCCAAGGTATTTCAGTACCCCTTATTTCTACAGTATTTCTTAACACAGTTCACAGTTTAGGATCATTTTGTATTTTGTTCCTTTTGCTGAGCTCCACATGAGCATATGATCCATGCTTGAAAACGTGCATTGTTTTTGCTAATGGTCTGCAACTATTTAAATGTGAGCTTAGCTGAAAGCAAACACTGAATGATTATATTAGTTCACCTATGTTGCTTGACCCTTTGCATAACAGAGTAAAGTTTTAGGGGTTTGCATTTCTTAATGATTTCACTGGCTTCATTATTGATCTTTATCAGCAAATAAACATGAGCTATTGAAGTATATTTCTGAGTATTTGCATCTAAATTTCTCATTTGGTGCTGTCACTTGTGTATGTAAAATATATGTATAATGACTTGGGAGATTCTATTTTTGTATTAGTGTGTGTTTTGTGTTGGAATGAGGAGGCAGGAAGGAAGAAAAACTCTGTATTTATATAAAAGTGCCTTAACTGGTTGCTTAGGGTTGCTTCCATCTTGGAATATGTGCTCTAAATCTCAAGAATATCCTGGAGATGCTAGAGACTGTTTTTCCTCATTCCCACACTCACAACACTGTCAATCTGTGGGTGTGCCATTCATTAAGCTCTGTGCCTTTCAGCATTGTGTACTGCTCTTAGTTTCATGCAAGCGCCTTTTAGTACCTGTAATATAGGGAAAAATAACTTGCTGTAGTTCCCCATTCTGTGATAGTGAAAATGTGCTACCTACTTGTGTTCTGCCAGTACTTTTGTAAGCTTCCTTGTTATACTTATGTGAAGAAATGTACCGTGTATTTATTAATTAAGCTGTAGGAGTTAAAATGATAGATATCTATACTAAAACTGCAGTACTGGGAGTGATAGTTGTTCTATATTTGTTTGCTCAAAGCTGTAGTGCATTCCTTTAAACCAGCCGTACGGTAAAGTGTAAGAACTTAAAGGGGGATTTGGTTAACCCAATGATTTTAAGGTAGATCATCTTTGGTATGTGTAGGTAAGGAACCTGGAAAATTCAAGATCTTCATGTACTATTCCTCACATTCACAGTAGTAGAAATAGATTGCATATTTATGTATGGATTTCCTGAATACTGAAGTAGCACTTTATTTTTGTTTTCTGGTGTACAGACCACAGCTAATACTGAGCAACCTCCTGTTTGATTCCCAGTGGGTAGTTTTTACAGTTTCAAGGGTTTTTGGAAAGCTATGGCCTGAAAACTGGAAATGATCAGAAAGCATCTGAAAATATCTCAAAATAAGAATGCTTTAAAAAGGCTAATTGTGGGACGTTAATGTAATGAAAATTCTCTTCTCAAGGTGGTAGAGGGTTGATAAATAGTTGCACTGCTAGAGATGGAAGCATATCTGACTGGATCCCCAACTCAGCCCAATCCAGTTATGTTCCAGGCCGTTTTAGGGCCCTTTTTGCTCAGAGGCCCTTGTGATCGTCTTAACCTCCCCCCTTCCGACATCACTTTTTCACTTTTGATAAGACATAGTATTAAATCGCAAGGTTCTAAAATGGTAATGTTGTATTTTCCCAGTGTGCAATTGTTTATGTTTATAGGTGGTGTGCTAAAAGGTACTGAAAACCATAGAACTTTATTCATATTAACACATAAGTTCTGCGCTAATGAGGTGAAGTCGTCTTGGATGGTACCTCTCCGGTCTGTAAAACCTTCCGAAAATTTAGGCATCTTTTGACTCATCTTCCACATTGATGTTTTGAAGTATCTTTTAAAAGCCTAAAAAGATAAATGCACAATTTTGGAGAGGCCTGTGATGTGTTGAGAATGTGGCTTCACCTTCTCAACTTGTTGGAACTAGCTACAGAAAAACTGTTGTTAATGCATGTGCTGATTGTGTTGACCTTGAACATATTTATACGGTGCTGAATGCAGGTTTACCACACTATCTGAAAGTAGAGCGTTCCTATGAAAACTTCCGTAAGCCAAAATGGGATAAAGTGAAGAAGCAATTACCATTAATTTATATGAGATAAAAACTTGGGTGTCCTCAGACTTAAAAAATAACATGCAACATGATGCCAAATAACACAAACATATAGTAAAAAAATAGGAATCTTATGATAAATACACAGCTTCTATAAAATATAATATGTACATTGTAGTTTCACTTACCTGAATCAATACAGGTTGCTTTGCTTAATGCCTGGGATACGTTCTGAGAAATGCATCATTAGGTGAGTTTGTCATTGTGAGAACATCATAGAGTGTACTTGCACAGACCTAGATAGCATAGCCCACTATACACCTAGGCTATATGGTATAACCTAAATAATGATAAACGTACACTGATTAAACACGACTACCGTTTTATTAAAACGCATCAGTTTAAAAATTTCCTTCTCGATTACTCAGCAGTATGGTGGAAGGAAGTCCAAATAAAAAGCATCATTTCTGTGGAGGCACTTCACATTAAAAGTGAATGAAAATGCAGTCGTCCGTCAGTATTGCAAAGCAGAACTTAAGTGTCACCACAGAAGGACTGCAATGCAAATATTTCTTAAAAGAAGACATTTGATTTTGACAGACTCACTAAATAATGTGAGATATGTGCCATTTAGCCTCACGGTGTAACCTGGCCTGTCTTTGTCATCACGTTGACTTAAATTATTCATTTACTTTCTACGATTCTGTATAGTAATTGCTGCTAAAACGAAGGTTACCCCCATCACTTAGCCACATCATCTTAGGGCTGAACGATATTGGGAAAAGTTCACATTGAGATATTTTAAGTTATTGCAATATTTAGGAGTTGAAAATTAACTACACTGCTCAAAACAATTAAGGTAACATTTAAATCACACATCCAATCTCGAAGAACAAAATAAAGTTGAAAATCTTAATTGATAGTCATTGAGAATAAAATGACATAAGCACAGTCAATAGAAACCAAAATCATTAACCCACTGAGGGCTGGATTCAAATTCACACGGAAAATCAAAGTAAAAAACAGAAATCACAGACTGATCCAACCACTCATAATGTGGCTCAGTAATGTGTATGGCCCTCACATGCCTGAATGCACTTCTGACAACATCTGGGCATGCTCCTGATGAGGCAGTGGATGGTGTCCTGGGGCATCTCCTCCCAGACCCAGATCAGGGCATCAGTGAGCTCCTGGACATTCTGTGGCGCTGCTTGGTGGCTTTGGATGCACTGATACATAATGTTATAGAGGTTCTCTGTTAGATTCAGGTCTAGGGAACGTAGGCGCCAGTCAATAGCATACAGGCCCTCGTTATCCAGGAACCGCTTGCACACTCTCACCACATGAGGCTGAGCATTGTCCTGCACCGGGAGGAACCCAGGGGCCACTGCACCAGTGTAAGGTGTGGCAGTGGGTCTGAGGATCTCATCTAGGTACCTAACAGCAGTCAGGGTACTGTTGGCTAGTAGAGGGTCTGTGTGACCCTCAAAGGATATGTCTCCTCAGACCATTACTGACCCCCCGCCAAACCGATCATGCTGGATGATGTTGCAGGCAGCATAACATTCACCACGGCATCTCCAGACTCTTTCATGTCTGTCACATGTGCTCAGTGTGAGCCTGCTCTAATCTACGAAGACAACGGGACACCAAAGGTGAACCTGCCAATTGTTGTGTTTTCTGGCGAATGCCAACCGAGCTGCACGGTGCTG